TTTTAACGATTGAATATGTATTTTACGATAAAAATTGGTATACGAATTGTATATTAAGGTGCAATATAAAACCAAACAACAACACTCTTGAGTTTCGATTTCGTAAGTTTATGAAAATATTTTTAGTCTGTATAACAATTTCCTTTTCGGGCCATTAGTTACAATTACGTCCATGATTTGTCTAATGGTGTACTGTGGCTCTATCACGTGTGTGTCGATGGTAATTTGGACGGAAAAGCTCACGAAGAAGTTCATTTCATTGACTTTTGTACTTTTCATCTCTTTATGATTTCCATCCAGTTGGTGATACTGATTTATCTAAGTAAATGGATCAAATTAACCTACGGAACTCCGAATCTACTCTAATATAATTGTGTATAACCAGCGTTGGGCGAGCAGTCGATCGAGAAGAACGAGCGATGCGATGATGACAGACCTTGCCACCGTACCACGTCACGATAGTCTAAGAATACATTTGGGCTAATGAGATTTCATTTACATTTTTGCATACAAATTTATCTCTGAAATGTTATTGTATTATTTTATTGACTAGATTCTTTGACATTTACAATATGGCTGTATACCAACATTGAATAACAGATACAAATATATGGTCACCAAACTACTTCACAAAAACCACTGGTCAGATATTTATTTATCTGAAATAAAAATTTAACATGAACCTATAAGAATGGTTTCAAAAATGTGCATTTTTGGACAGTTTATCTTCAATAAAATATTTCGAATTATAAAAAACCTGAAAGTTGGTATCTTATGTTTTAAACAATTATTGTGTAAAATCTCAGGGAACTGAAAATGCAAAGACTCCATTGATCTTATTGTGTGTTCTATGCCGATGTGATGGTGAAATGATATATTGAATTTTGTACTACCTAGCTAGATGTGAACGTCAGAATCTATAGGACATATTAGACTGATTCATGGACTAATCCCCCCAACCCACTCCGCCATGTTGAAAACTAGAGGCAGTAGAGGCAGCTCATATGAGTGTTCCGCAGAATAAAAAAAAAATCATCCCAAAGAGTCAACACATTTTTCGGAGGATGATGTCATTCTATTCAGAGAATGTAATGCATGTACAGGGAATCTACATGATTAGATCTTATATCGGTTCCTAATAAACTATGAATTGACAATACTCAGATGAGACTAAATACAGAAAATAGTGTAAATAATTAGTGAGATAAATTCATAGACATCTGCTTATCAACAGATTCAAACATTGTAAGTGAAAGACAATCTGTTTGATAATTTCACTTGCCATGCATATAATGGTCTAATCTTGTGATTTATATAATTGTTCGAATCCTAACGTTTCCCCAAAATTCAGTTCCTAAAGGTACATCCAATTTCTCACTTATCAGACGGTTAAGTATCACTTTCCATCATCTTACAAGAGAGTATAGAGGACGAGAGCAATAATACTGCGTTACATCTATTGCCAGTGAATTATTTGTGGGAATCTTCCTCAAATTAAAGGTATGCTACTCAGGTTATATATAAATTAACCAAGAAAAGCAAGAAAGACAAAACAAGTGAACTTGTATGATAAAACATGCTTTATACTAAAACGAGAAGATAGAGACATAGACTGATATGCATACAAATGAACTTAAGAAAAATATAAGACACCGATAAAAGAGAAAAGAAGGATATATGAAGAGAGAAAGCGAAAACGAGGCTCCAGCAAAATTAGGAATACAATTAATGATTTAAAGAAAGACAGTTTATTACCTACAAACACTGATACAAGTAACAATACAAATGTAGGTGAGTGGATAAAACACTTCTCTAATTTAAACACATAATGTAAGAATGAGTCGCCATTGAATGTAGAAATCAGGGACATGGGAAATATAGAAAGTAATGTACTAGTAAATAAAACAAAAAGTAAAGCAAAGGAGACATTGAAAAAGAAAAATCCGTCCTACCTCGTACCCCTAAAGGTTTTTAAACTATTCCCAGATAGTTGTGAAACTAGCTGAATGAATGAAATGAAATGAATCATGTCATTGAATGAATGGGTCTTAAAAACGGGCCAGCATTCACTCACTTTTTTCGTTACGGGCTAAGGTATTTGCCTTCAAGCTCATGCTGTGCGTGTACGTTGCTATAAGCTACTGGAAGGATAACAAGAATGGCTTATATGAATTGAGGATGAGTACCACTAAATAATGAACTGTTATTTTTATATAGAAGCCAGGAAGACACTCCTCAGTGTGAACCCAATTTTTAATTCACTTCTAGCGATGCCAAACTTGCATACATTTTGAGCAATGTATCAACATTAATATACCTTGCATATTGGTCATTACATAAACAAAAGTGGTGTTACTAATTTTCATGTACTATTATATATTTTACAATCTAAATAAACACTGACTAACAATGTCAAAACTTATTATTATCAAAGTATGTGTGAAAGGACTAATTTCACAATCAAAATACTAGTAGTATAGTCTAATGTTATATATTTTTTACTTAATACATTTCTATATTTTCAATTTTTCAACTTCATTGATGTACATAACCAAAAAAGAAATGTAATATTTTCTTTACGGTGTCACTATTCTATTCTATTCTATTCTATTCTATTCTATTCTATTCTATTCTATTATATTCTATTCTATTCTATTCATTTTTTTATTTAATATATTTGTTTATATATTTATTATATTGTATCATTGTTATCCTAATTTTGCATTCTATTTTCCCTGGAAATTAGAATAGCATTTGACTACGTTTGTATCCCACGGCTAGCCTGAACTCATGCCACTTTTTTAGAGGTGTCAGGCAGACCATGGGTAAACGAAAACGTGCAGTTGAGTAAAAAAAAAAAAAAGTGTCAACAAACAAGCTGATTTCTGACTGGTCTGACTATAGGGTCTATGGTCTGTTAGGTGTTGGGGTTGGGTACAATCTTTTGGAAAAAGTGCAAATACCTGTATACGAGTATACAGAAAAACAAAAGAACATAGCGTGTAATGGTTCGGTAATGTTCGGTTCTTCTCGGTAATTTCCGCCATTTCCAAGATGGCGCAACGCACAGGAACTAGACATGTCAACAGAAGCTCAAAATACGGAAAAGGAGCTCGAGCTAAGCAGCAACGAAAAAATTTCAGAAAGGAACGATGGGAAAACGATATGAAAGAATTGGAAACGCTTAAAAAGCGCTATGAGGATGTAAGTATTTTCTGTCCATCGGTTGAAATGAACCGCTATCGGCACTAAGACAGCTGATCAGGCAGTACACTGTACAACACGTGTTATGGTTTGTAGGCAGACCAAGACAAGACACAGTCAGTGGATAGTCAGCACATGTAGCAAGACACAACAAAATAATAATCACCCATAACTCTAATTCTAAGCTTGCCCTGCGTACAGTGCTGTGTGTACGGGGACGCGTTCGGTTGATAGATACCCATAGAGTCTTGGAGCGTACAGGAGTTGGTCCCCCACTGCACTGTACGCAAGGCTAATCCTAAGCACGCCCCCACACTTTAATTGTATATGCCCCTCTTCAAGACGAATATGGTTATCGCGAGGGGCATATACATTTGGGGGCTGGAGTATTAGAGTTAGAGTTCAGGGATTCAGCTCGATTTCTAGACGATTCGGCCCTGGTGAAAAAAGATGATCTGTTCCTGGCTTGGACGTTCCTGTTCCAAAACAGTTTGGTCGAACTGTAACATGGGACGATTTTTTTTATTATCAGTGGGACTGATATAATGCTACGTACCAGCAATTAGTGCACATGTGTAATGTTAACAGTAAGACCATTCAATGTACTGATTAATAGGCTCAGGTTCTTGTGCACAGGCGTCGGCGAGTGAATAAACAAACATCTGTTGCATTGTGTAAAACATGGTGTTAAATCGTGAAAAATATCCTGCAAAAGATAAAAATAAGTTGTGAATAAGATAGTCATGCGTTGGTTGTGCATTTAATATATTAACATTAGATATATACACATATTGAATATAATTTATACCAGGGCTGGATCGACCACCCTGTTTTGGAGCTGGATGTCCAAACCTCAGACTAGTAATACATTGTATTACTAGTCTGAGTCCAAACCAGGGTCGGATCGTCCTGACACCTGGAGCTCTCTGGTTCACGCTAGGTAAAAATAGTATTTAGTGGCACAACACTGACTTGCGGAAATACAGCAGTAAGTCTGTAAGGCCTCAAAAAAAAAAATGAAGAAAAAAAATGAAAGTTACATAAAATGAAAAAACAAAACAAAATAATGATAGAGTAATACATGTATGTACTAGAAGGAAATTGGTCTGGGCTGCTGTCTGGTGTAATATATAAATATTTTATCACGACATGGATACACAAGTGCCCTAACTGTATTCTGTATTATTTTCTAACCATTCCATTAATTTTTATCCCCCTAGATCGATTCTGCAAGTATTTCTAAGTTCACTGATTTTCCACTTAGTAAAAAAACCAGGGATGGTTTACTTGAAGCTGGCTATGACGTGCCAACTGAAATACAACGTGAAACGATTGGAGTTAGCTTAAAAGGACATGATGTGTTGGGAGCTGCTAAAACTGGATCGGGTAAAACGCTTGCCTTTCTTCTTCCTGTAAGTGAACATATCGTATTGTTTCCTTGTTTATGAAAAATTTTGTGTTTATTTATTGGTTGTAATTAAACATAAAGTTACTACTGTAGTAGCGTTCTCGCACAGCTCCTTAGTATGGGCTAAAACGTTAAATACCTTAGCCCGTGCTAAGAAAGCATGTGTGTACACTTGGCACTGGGTAAGAAATATGGATTAAATTATGTATGGATTAATTTAGGCCTGTTTTTAAGACCTGATCCAAATCCTTAGGAAGTGTGCATGAACGCTTAGTTTTTGCTAAAATATGCAAACATATGAGATTAATTAACTTAAATCTCAAACAATAGTTATCAGTGGTTTTAATTGGTCCTGTGTTAATACATTTATAACAACTAAACTCAGCGTTGTTATTGACCGTCATGTTTCATTAAAAAACTTGCAATGAATGGAACTCCAGAGCGAGGCTGACGTTGAGGGTATGCTTTTAAGGTGGCGTTATTGTTTACACATGTTAAAATCGTTTCTGTAAGTATGGGGTGCTAGTTGAGACTTGACATTTTTGGACGTCTGAAACTAAATCGGCTTATCTAGTCTCCAAACCGGCTTTTTGGCAAATATATGAACATGGTATTTGGCGTTCAAAAGGTAAAATAGTTTGTTCTAGTCAGGAATAGCTGTTGCCATGACAATCTTGCTTTCTATACATTATTACTCACCTCAGTTTGCTATAGTAGTTCGGTTGAGTAAGACAAAATCAAAATTTCTATAATTTATAATTTCTTTACTATTTGCCTTACAAGGTTGCCTTCACAAAGAGTGAATCTATCAAAAGAGATGGAATGCCATAGATGGATTAGATGTTATTTACAGTGTTCACAACTTTTTGTGTCTCTTTGCGTCAACGTAACTTTAGTCAACGTAGGAGAAAAACACATACACCATTACGCCCGTGTAAAGAGTCTTAAATATGATGGAGACAACACCTGTGACCATCCGGTGTTGGTGTAGTTGCTTTGGTGTCCTAAAATGAATTTCAGTTCCACAGTCAGTTGTATTTATTATAAGTTTATTTCCAAATAGACTGACTATGTGTGTCAAATTTGAACCTTTTCACCACCAGTTCCTTCTTTTCATCACAAGTTCACAAAATAGTCCCGTTTATAGTCTGTCCTTTTCTTAGAAAATTGGGACTAAAATAGTCACATTTTTGGAGTAAAATTTGAAAATTGACTCAAATTCTGTCAGTTGGCTTCAAAATTTGGGTTTGTTTCGAGAAATATTAAGGAATATACTAGTAATAAAAAAGTTCAGAAAAATTTGAGCGAGAAAGTCTTGTTGTGAAAAGGTTAAGGCAGTTCAGGTTGTTACATTGACCTGTTAAACTCAGGCAAAATATGCCCATCAGTTCCAACATGGAGGTGACAAGAGATTAGATACATGTTACTACAAGTTTATGTATATTAATATTATTAAGATTTTACATGGCCCAGATTTGTCAACTATTATTGCTTGTTTGAATAAGTACACAAAAGACAACAACATTGTGTGCCATTGTACACATTATCCAGTGG